AAAACTTTTGAGGGTATTTTTATCAATTTGTATTTTGTAAATTATTTTTGTTATATTTTTATTAGATGCGCTATGATAAGAAAAATGATTGATTAAAATTCAATTGATTTGATTTGTAGAAAAAAAATGAAAATTCAAATACAAAATGAGGTTGTAGCAATCTGACCCAAATTCAATATGGGATATTGTAGCTGTTAGCCCATGACAGGATGCATTCATATATATATATATATATATATATGGAGTGATTTCATGCAAAGTTCTGTACTAATATAATGAAACGGGAAATGATCTCATGCAACAGTTGTATAGCAGTATAATGCAACCACATCTCTAGAAAACCATATTTTGGTATTTGCATGACCCTAAATTTTGCACATACATTCTCTTCATCCTCATAATCAATCCTATAAAAAAAAGAAAAATCAATTTGCACCCCTAGATATGGTCAAAATTAGTACCCATCCAACAATGAATCTCGACCATCCATTTGGTGAAGATCTAGGCCGTAACAAATTTAAAATCATTTTTTTCTTTTTTAACATTATTATTAATCTAATGATGATAACACTATATAAACATTTTGGGAATAAAAAAATCCTTCTGAGGCCTATATCTAACCATCTCAATAAAATAGACGACTTGTATTAGTTGGGCTAGAATGAAAACTTTCTAGAGAATTTTTCAAAATTTTCTTTTTTGCGATTGTTCTTCAGAATGAAAAGAGTGTATATTTCAAAATTTGTGTCAAACAAATGTCTTTAACATGGTTTTTTAAGATGGTTGCATTATACTACTATACAACCGTTGAAATCATTCCCCTAAACTATTTTTAAAAACCTATTTATTTGACTTTGAATTTTTAAATATACACTCTTTTAATCCCTATGAACTATCACAAAAAAGCTAAATTTGAAAATACCCCCTTTATTTTAACCCAGTTAAAATAAGCTGTCATTTTCAACGAGATGCTTAGATCTAAGCCCTACGAGGGTTTTTTTGTTTCTAAATTGTTTAAATGGTTTTCTTATCATTAGACTACGAACGTTTAAAAAGGAAAATTTGATGTTGAATTTGTAAAAAGCCTATATCTTGAAATTCATCATTATGGTTTGGATTTATTATCAGAAGAAACTCATTTTGATCAAATTTGGGGTGCAAATTAAGTTCCATTTTTCTTGACATTGATTATGAGGATGAAGAGAGTGTAGGTTAAATTTGGGGTCAAATAAATATATGACTTTATAGAAGTGCAGTTTCATTATATTACAATGGTTCACCATTTTATCATTCCCATATTGTATATATTTTTTTAATATTTTTAAAATGTATTTGTTAGGTTCTAGACTCGTATGGGGTAGGTGAGCCCAAGTCGGATCCGGGTCCAAATTAACCAGGACCTGACCGACCCAGTGCCACCCCTACTCATCACATAGCAATAGGCACACAAAGAAATGTTTCACTAGGTCTAGTGTAGTTGCCATGTGCAATCCAAATAAACCAAGGAATTAATGTTCTAAAATTTATTCATTTCATCTCTCTCCAAAAAGGAAAATACCCATGTTTACTGTACAGTACCATGGGGCCACATTGGTTGAGGTCCAAATGGAAAGACTGAAGGTATGGCCTCTCCGGTTTTTCTGGGTTCCACCTGAATACCTTGAAATCCTTCAACTTTTTTCCCACTTTCTCTTTCACTGTGGCCTGGCTTTTAGCTGCCATTTCCTGAGCTCTCTCGTTGCTGTTCCTCAAGCACTGAAAATTCAGTGGATTTCGCCATCTTCTCATATATCCATTTCGGAGCAACTCCTCGGCTTGAGAGGGAGAGGGAGAGGGAGAGGGACCTGCTTCCTTCATGTGAAGAAAGGGATTCTAAGTTTCAAGTGGGGACACGCAAGTAAATGACCCTCATTCAATGCCAAATATCTAAGATGCCCTCACGTTTGAAAGGCCAGAGCCTCATTTTAAAGGAAACTTACAGAAAAAAGATCACAGTTGGACAAAGGTTCTCACAAAGCTCAAGGTTCAACATGATTTGTTTGTAACTTTGCCTAGCCGCTTGATTTGAAATCTAATGAGGAGAAAAAAAAAATTGTGAGCTTTTTATACGATCGGTAAATGATTCAGCAGTACGCAACCTTGAGTTCAATTCCTAATTTCAATAAAACACTTAAAGCGATGAGAAAAAGGTGACCTCGTTTTCAGTTTTCCTAATGTTACTATATCACTCACTACATTGGAGTTAATTTGGTAGCATAAAATTAGCTTTGTTTTGAACAGCTCATTTTATGCAAGTTAATGACTAGTAAACTAGTAAGGGTATACCTAAAAAATATGTTAATGCTCTTTTCGATCGATAGTATAGCTATTAAGACTAGACTGAACAGATTAAATTGAAGAGAAAACTAGTTAAAACTAATTTTTGATCAGTTTCAACTAACCAAAATACCAATTTTGACTAATTAAACAAATTGAACAACATTTTAATATAATTTTACATTTCTAATATATTATTATTATTATTATTAATCCCCAAGCACTCTGAGGGTTCAAGATTTTTATATCTTTTCATTCTTTCTGAATGTGCATAACACTTGGGATTCTTTTAACTTTTTGTGGTTGAGGGTTAATATGGAAATTGAATGGACAAGTGGGGTTACCGAACAAACTGCAATTGCTCCCAAATATTTGAAAACATAGAGGCAGCCTGTGCTCCTTTAGAAGAAAACGGGTAAAATGGCAATTCTGTGGGTAGTTTGGATAATTAAGACAAAAGTAGGGTTGCATTTGGGAGCTACAGCTTAGGTGCCGCGTGTTTGACGCACACTCATTTGGGTCCATTAATTTTGGGGCTAAAAATGATCAAACATCAATTTATGGGTGGAAACCTTGGAAATTCAAAGTGGTCAAACAGGAACTTACCTAATTCTGACCTAATTTTGGCTCCATCTCTGAAAACTTCCATGGTATTTGTTGCTGGGGTGGCCTGCTCTTTGTATTTCATGGTCGGTTTCTTGGACACCCCGCCCTCTTTTCCACGTTGAAAACAAAAGTGGTGCTTTCCTTCTCTAAATCAATGGGCGGCAATGGATCGGTTCCGTTGGGTCCAATTTTTGGATTCATAGTTAGATACAGATTGGGTCTATTCCTCGATTCTTGGATTTGAGTTTAGGTTTGGGTGTGGGTCCATTGCAACCTTTATCTCTTACACTCTCTTTTGAAACTTCCTACCGCTATTTTTATCATTCAATCTTCATTCCCTTTGAAAAGGAGTCTCCCTCAACTTAAACCGGCTCTTATGCAATTTGATATGTAAAAGGGACTGCGATTGTTTAATTTTTTTATAAGGAGGTCACATTCATTTCAAATTATTCTATTTCAAATTGGATGGCATGTAGTATGTCATGAAGTTCAAGAAAATGTGTTTTGAACTTTGAGTCAAGTCAATAATATTTTCACAACCACCAGATTTGAAATAAAAAAAACAAGAATGATTATAACTTCCTTGTGCTAAAAAAAACAATAACTTTGTATACTTTTCTTAAATAAAAAAAAGTATTTCTCTTTATGGTTTTGTTGGGACATATTACCATTAAATTATCTAGAGAACTTTATCACAATACTTATGAGATGAATTATTCAATATACTCATCTACAACTATTCCAATTCAATATCATGTGTTTTTTAAAAAATTAAAAACTATAAGAGATGGTAAATTATTAAAGGAAAAGTATACAATAAAGTCATTTACCTTTCGTACAAGATGGTCACAACTAATATTGACCATTGGATGGAAATTGGGTGACTGCATTTATTCATTTGACCAAACTCAAAGTTCAAAAGAAATTTTCTCAAACTTTATGACAAATCCAAGGTATCAAATTTCACTTCAATTGGTTGCAAATAATTGCGACCTTCTTGTACCACAAACAAATAAATGGTATATAATCTCATTATTAAATTGTTTATCTCTGATAGATAGTTTAATAGATTTTCAAATCATTTACTTATGGTGTAAGAAGTTCACAATCTTTCCTAGCCGTTAGATTTAAAACAGGCAGAACTGAGTTGTTTAATGAAGTTCCAGATAAAATTTGTTGGACTTGAGCTGACATCTCTAGCCACGCAATCGCACATTTATATGCATCCTTCAATGCTAGAAATAAATAGTGTAATTGTATTTTGTTTTTTTGGGGGTAAGTAAATAGTGTAATTGTATGTCTTTTACGTTTTCTTAAATTTTTTAAAAAGTACGATTTCAAAATACTTCGAAAATAACTCATCTTTAGAAAGAACCTACATATAGACATTATATGGTTATTTATATAAAAAGCTTAGAATGTTTTTATAATTTATATAAAAAGCTTAGAATGTTTTTATAATTTATATAAAAAGCTTAGAATGTTTTTATAATTTATATAAAAAGCTTAGAATGTTTTTATAATTTATATCAAACTTTTGAGAAATTTATCAAAATCAAATAGCTTTTCAACTATTTAAAATTTGACCTTTTTTCTATTATTCCCACTCTAAGTGATGTGCATTTTGATGCACATTTTGAAGTTAAATTGAAACATATGGGTGAAATGTTAAATAGCCAGTATCTAAGATTCATTTCGACAACTTTTTCTTGGTTCATTGGACCAAACCCATATGTCTAGGGGCGGCAATGGACTTGGAACCGCTCGGGACCTGCGACCCAACGGGTAGACCAATACCGGATCTGGATATGGGTCAAAAAATTGGACCTAGGGGTTAGGTCTAGGTCAAAATCTTGGATCCAAATACTATTTGGGTCGGGTTCTGATTGGGTCGTATTGGGTCGGGGGTCTGGTTCAGGTACCACATTCTTTGTCTATTACTTCGCTTTTAATATTATTTATTATCCAAATGAGATTGTCTACGAAGAGACCATTTATCCTTTGTATATGGAGGTCACGATCACTCTTGTCCCTTAAATGTCAAAATGGGTGGTTGTAAGAGTGTCATTGAAATTGATATGAAGTTCCAAAAAACAAATTCTCGGACTTTGAGACTTACCCCAAGCCATCCAATTTGACATCTAATGAGTGATAATCATTGTGACCTCCATGTACAAAAGATAAATGGTCTTCACTTTCTTCAAAATTCTTGAAATATATAATCCGTGTTTCACAATTTGCGAAATACCATTCTACATAAAGTTTATATAAGGTTGAGGTCATAAACAATCAAATTAAGGAGCACCTCAAAATTCATTTGAAGAGGTTGTTTTGATGTCAAAAAACCTTTAAATCAATCATCTCGACCTCAAGATAGATAGACATGAAAAATATGGATGTCAAGTAGAGGAAATAAGTGCATCTTGTAATGCATTATCTAGACCGGCAATTTTCAATGTTTTCAAGTGTTTGTAGATCAGCTCAATCTACACTATTTTGAAATCTTTAAATTTTATAATTAGAGATGAAAATAAATTTTTAGGCCATCACAAAGATTTTTGCTACTGAAAAATCACAGGGACACCTTATCTTGAATGTTTAGGGACACCCTAAGGGCGCGTTTGTTTTTCTGAAAGATATCTTCTGGAAAGTTAAATGTTTTGTTTTGAAATGCTTAAATAAGTTCTGAGTGTATTTGATAACATGTTGGAATGTTAAGAAAGTTCTGGGTATTGTGTTTGATAACATATATATATATATATATATATATATATATATATATATATCATATTAACAGTACTAATATTATGTATTTATATTATACAAAATGAATAGTGATCAACACAAATGTTCTGAAAGATTATGTTCCTACCCCTCCCTCTCCCAAGAACTTAATCTTTTATATTTTAACAAAGGGTACGGTTTGTATAGAGCCTAGGCTCTAAACAATCAAATTAGAGCCTACCTCCAAATAGCATCAAGAAATGTGGTTTCAATATTGAAAATATTTGTGATAGCTTTAAAATATATTTTCATATCTATTTATGAAGTTCAAAGCTTAAAGAATAGTGTAGATCGACATATCTATGATATCTTGAAAATCTTGAAAATTGACGGTCAAAAAATGCGTTACAAAATACACTATTTTCAAAACTTGCAATCCATTTATTTCTCATGTCCATGCATCTTGATATCAAGCTGATGAAGTTGAAGATATTTGGGCATCAAAACAACATCTTCTAATGAAAATTTTGAGGTAGGCTCAAATTTGAATGTTTAGAGCCTCGACTCTATATAAACTTTTGCCTTTATTTAACAAATAAACGAGAACTTTGTTGAAAAATTACTTTTTGAATTTTTGGATGGATACTGTGCGTCAAACGTGTTAGATTTCTTCCTGAAAGAAATCTTTCAGAAAAAAAAAAAAGAAAAAATAATGCCCTAAGTAAAATGATATAAGGCTAAGTTCCCAAAAATTCGATTTAGGCACTCTATTAGGAATTCTCGATTATGTTCCAAAATAAAACCCTAAATTCTCTATGTTAAACGGCACAAGCAAAATTTAAGATTGCGCACAAGGCAAAGAATAGACCATGAGAGCTTATAAATCATATAGAGTAAAGATAAAACTATTCAAATCAGTGATTAAAAAGACAGATCGGTGACCCACAAATAGCTGGTTCTCTTCTAGACCCAAATGATTTCATATATATGAATCGGTACAAGGTGACCAATTTCCAAGTCCGACCGGATGATTCCATGCCAACCCAACGTTTTTTAAATCACTTATTCAAATATTGAAAACTCTTCTAAACATGATATGGAGGTGGAAAGGAAAATGGGTCGTTGTTTTGCCTCTTTTGAGCACACTAATGTCCACTTCCTA